AAACAAATTTATACAGGCTGCTGACTGGATTGTCCACACTCTGTGTTAAGGTTATATACAGACAGGGCTGCACTGCTGACTGGATTGTCCACACTCCTTGTCAAGGTTATCACAAGACTGTATTCATCTACGACTGACAGAACCCACTCTGAAATCTAACTCCACATCAGTTAGACTGGAGGGGAGCTTTGAGAAGGGTTGAAGGAAAAAAGGGAGGGAGGGAGCGAGAGAGGAAGAAAAAGACTGAAACCTTATTTATGTTAAACAGCCAAATGGAGGCTGTAAGAGTTACCTGAACATCTGTAAGACAGACAAGCTTAGACAAGCCCTAAAGATGAGCAGGTTGAAGAGGAGGTCAGATTGTTACTGTGTTACTGGCACTTGTATTAGTGGCTAGTCTTTTAAGACTTTGGCAGCTATTTGTACTGAATTCCTGCAATATACACATCCTGAACAGAAATCAAACAAAGTCCTTGTAAGGGAAATATTAACTTTGGAATATTTGCAATATGTCCAAAACACTGTCAACGTAGCTCTCACAAGAAATAAATATATGCCATAGCAGACCGCTCTGTGTAAGTGTATATAACAATTTATTTTTGCAATGCAAACATTCATGGTTGGTACAACAGCAGAAAAATGATTTCAGGTTGGGGATTTTGTCAGTGACCCCTTTAGTTACTACTGCCTAAGGCAACACAGCGGAGACGGTAGTTGGTTAATGTGTAAATATTGAGATGGCTCCTCAAGTATGTGGATCCTGGGGCTGAACTAAACAAAATTAGTTTGTTAAGGGTCACGCTATGAGTGCTAGACCAATTAAAATCTCTCAAGCTCAATCAGATAAAAAATGCCATCCAAATCAAACAGAGTACACATTATACAGTGGAGCGGTTTTGCCGGAAATTCCATCTTGATCTTCCCAAATGTTTTGAATGTAACCTACAGAGCAGCTCTTGCACAACCTAAGAGCACAAAAGAAATACTACTTTACTAACGACATACTGCTGACCTTAAAGTATATGCTGGTCAATCATTGTGTCATGACTGCGCTCAAGAGAGAAGAAACAAACGGATGTATGGAGCGAGCATAGCTATGGCCTATATCCTGTTTTTGACAATGGAGAATTAAACAAAATGAGCCATGGGGAAAAATCAAATGGATTTGTCAACATAAATAAGAGATGCCGTGGCTGAGAGAAATCTAAACTTAAGTACTTTGCACAAGACTTTCATTAAGTGTGGAATGGAGAGTTATCCTCCAGCTTCTGCGCTTTACCAGAACTGCATTAAGTGCAGACATGAGAGTAGTTTACCCTGAGATTGAATTGGACATGCCACTAGATTTTACCACCATGATACACAAATAAAGCATGACAAAACATAGCTAGAGGCAGACATGTCAAATGCAATCCAGAAAAAAATCTAAACCAAACTGAATACACTGCCAATAGTAAAAATCAATTTTGCAAAGCCCTTTAAATATTGATTTGATTCATTTAAGAGACACAGCATGCACACATATTGCAGCCGCAGAGAAACCTACAACAATTTTACACCAAGCAGCGGTCAAAGCCAAAATGACTGTGAAGCTATATCTTTTGACAAAACACAGTGTGTAATTTAATCTGACTTTTTTAAACCCAAGAATTTAGAAGTCGCTTGAAGCTTTAAAGAGAACAAATGAAGCAAATATGTAAAAATTCTAATTAAATGTCAGACAGAAAAACAGAAGCACTGAGGCAACTGAGGAATCTCCAGAGGAGGGGGGGGGCGG